CCGAACGGGAACTTCCGAATTGACGCCCACTGACACCACCAACCGCTCAAACAGCGCCTCGAGCTCATCCCGGGACACCCCCGCAGGCGCCAGCGGCGTCGCCACCACGGCCCCGCGACCCTCCGCCATGACCTCTTCCGCCGCCTCCGCCGCCTCCGCCGCCTCCGCCGCCTCCACCACTGCCAGGGCCATTGCCCGTCCCGCGACGTGTTTCAGCAGCCGTACAGCAAAGGCAGGACGCACCACCACACGCCTCGCCGCCAGCAACTCAGCTATGAAGTCCAGTACGACTCCCCAGCCGCCGCCGCCGCCACCGCCGCCGCCGCCGCGGCTACTGCTGCCGCGGCCATCTTCCGTCTCCAGCAAGTGGATGAAGGCGTTGACCAGCACCTGTCGGCCCCCCCCCCAGACGAGCGGAGATGGACGTGTGTGGAGCGCCCCCGTGTGAGTTTTAACGGCCCTTCAGGACTAACGTAAGTAAACGCTACGCTTCCATGGCTGCGGTCTTCCCTTCCACCCCTTTCCACACACACCCCTTCCACCCGTACACAAACGCACCCCCCATACACACACACACACAGCCTTTCCCACACACGCACACACGCGCTTACTTGTGTCGCCACCAGCACGCTGTCCAGCTCCGCTGCGGGTCGCGCAGCCGCCTCGCGCAGGTCCGTCTCAACGGCGTCCCAGTCGGATACGGCAGCGCCGAGTACGGATACGGCAGCGGCAACATCCACGGAGAGGAGGACCTGGAGGGGGGCAGGTTGCGTGTGTGTGTATGTATGTGTGTATGTATGTGTGTGTGTGGGGGGGGGGAGACGGCGGACGGTCAGGGGAGGGTCGGGAACTGTTGTGTTGTTTTTTGATGTCTTCAAGGGGGATGTAATTGTGTATTAGGGGCTTGCGTAGAATATGTATTGATGTGTGTGTGTGTGTGTGTTTGTGCATGTGTATGTATGCCTGTTGATGTTGGGCGCGACCTCCTCGACCCAAATGAGCGGAAATGAGCCTACTGATGGTGGGGGGAGCTGGGTCCAGAAAACCAAGACGAGGAGAGGAAACACACATACACACACACACACACACACCCCTCCCGCTAGCGGGAGAGCGCTTCGGCGGTCGTTCCCGTTGGGGTACCGATAGGTGCCCCTGGCCGGTGCCAGGCCCCAGTCGATGTGCAACAGAAACACACACACATACATACATGCACACATGCACACATACACACATACACACATACACACATACACACACACACCTGCAATGCCGGATGTGGTCCCCCCACCAGCTCACGCGGCAACTGGTCAGGTCGCAGGTGCCACTCCCGGGCCAGGTCTCCGGAGTCTAGGAACAGCAACGAGCCCAACAACTGGGCCTTCACGTCATCGGGGCCGCCTGGGGTGGGGTGGGGAGGGAGGGGAGGGAGGGCAGGTGGGGGGAGAGGAGGGGGGAGAGGTGGGGGAGGGAGGGGAGGTGGGGGAGAGGTGGGGGGAAGGAAGGGAGGGGGGAGGTGGGGGGAGAGGAGGTGGGGGAGGGAGGGGAGGTGGGGGGAGGGGTTTGAGAGCTAGCACGAGCGAATCAGGGATAAGGACAGAGGAGGACGAGGAGGAGGAGGAGGACGAGGCGCAGGACGGGAATCTCACAATCTGCTATCTGCACCCATTCACTCACTCGCTCACTCACTCACCTGCCGTACCATGTCGTCCCACTCCGGGTATGACATCAGGCAGGGGGCCGGTCCCCGGGGGAAAGCACTGACGCCGGAAGATGCATCTGTGTGTATGTGTGTATGTATGTCGAGGGCCCGGCGGGGGGGAAGGGGGACCGCGTGACGGTGTCGGGAGGGGGTGGCAAATTCGGGTGGGTGTATTAGCAGTACGACGGCGTGCCGGCCCCCTCGAGGAGGGATCGATAACATCGCTGCGGAGGTTGTCGGCACGGGGCAGGGGCGGGGCCCTAACCCCTCGCCTTCAGCAAGGAGACATACATACATACATATACATATAACAAGTTTATACATACATACCTTCCCACCTGCACC